GAGCTCACATCTGGGTTTGAGGAACTCCTGGTGCTTTAACTAACAGGGTGGAGGTGTGGAGAGGCATCTTACATCTGATTTAAATTCTCAATTTATGACTTTCTTAAAACTGTTCACAGGCACTGTTCCACCGGCTTACACATAGGAAACATACACTGAAGCAAGCATTTTTTAGTGTCTTTAAAAGTACCCATTTTCCCTAGGACAAGGACACGAGGCTTCTGCTGCAGGGTCTTTCTTTTCTCTTTTGCTCCTCCGAAGTATGTTTTTTGAGCTGTTAGAGCTTCCATCTTCCTGTCTTCCCCTCTAGCCAGGTCTGTCACTGTCATATGTCTGTCACCAGCTCTTACAATCGGCAATGCTGCTCTTCAGGCTAGCGAAGGCTGAACCCCAAATCTGCCACAATACGTGAGCGCGAGATGACAAGTTTCTTCCATTTTTAAGTAACTCAAAGGTACAAATAAACTTACTTAAAAAGTGCTGTGGGCCAACAGCAGTGCAACACACAAATTCCTTTGCTCAAGATTACCTTTGCAAAATGCGTTCAGAGTAAATAAGTTGAGAAAACAACGAAACTCTGTCGGCGTGGCCTCTTGTGCAAGTTGCTGTCGTGTAAGCGCTGCTTTTCCTGCCCGTGTTGGAAGGGAAACCAAGTGTCCAGGCACACTGCTCAGGCAGACTGCAAAGAAGTGCACACACAGATGCCTTTCAGGTACCTGCCATGTGTTGGGGCAAGGGTGGCACTTCAGAGCAAAACCCTCCCCCTGAGGAAATGTTGGAAGAGATCTCGGGGCACACACAGCTGTGCTGAGGACTTGCTGCGGAGATGTGCAGGAATATCCTGAATTCTGCAAACTCCTCCACAGCTACCCTGAATCCCAGCCCTTTACACTAACAGTCCCCTGTGCTCTTGTGAAGTGGGAGGGGGTGGTTATTTGGTATCACAGTAGTTGCGAGGGCTGCTGTCTGAGGACAGCTCTGCTGCTCGACCCCTGCGAAGAAAAGGGCTGCAGCCACCTCCTGCACATAAGCCAAAGGGCAAAACAGAGTGGAGGGACGCACACACCCCTCTGCTGTGGCCCTATGTGGGATGGGGGGGGGCAACGGCTAGCAGGCATTAACAGGGAAAGCTGAGGGACAGCTGCTTATCTGCAGGATGTGCTTAAAATGGCCAAAGGAGCAGGAGGTTGGTGGGGCCCAGGGAGGACTGTGGGGTGTGCTGGAAGCTGCTGAGCTGGGGCAGTGCAAAGGAGCAAGGAGTCGAAAGGAGAAAGGAGGTGGGGGGAAGGAGTGTGGGGGCATGAAGGGGAGCTGGAGAAACTCCCTTCTCCATTCCCCCTCCCAAGGTCTAAGCCAGCAGAAGCATCTGGCTGCTCCGCACTCGTGGAAAAGTTGCTGCTTTTGGGGCAAATGAAGCGCTGATCAGAGATTCCTGTTAAGTACTAACCTGAGGGAACGAGTCACCCTGCTTGCTGCTCTGCAGGCAGGAGGCCCACAGCCCGGCAGCATCCTGGATAGGCACAGGGTACCAGGCTGTGCAGTGTCGTCTCCATGTTTCCTACAACACATGCAGAAGTTAATCTTAGCGCTGCTATTCTGGATGGAAGACTCCTTTCTTCCCTTAGAAGACACCTGCACGATGTCTTAAACAAGACAGTTCACGTGCTGCAGCTTAGCAGCCCCTGATAATAAGCAAAACACGTCGAGACCGTGGACAGAACTAACCCTATCTCTGCGTCCTTCTAATTTTATCTCAGAGTCAGGAACAGGCTCCTGCACAAACCACAAATTGCTGGCGCTGTAACAAGGTTATCTGTAAGGCACCTGAGTGCTGGGAAAAGTCAGGGTGGGAATCTCTATCTAACACCGTTTTTTTCCTTTCCAGTGTGTTCCATGGGAAACAGCACCAGCCGACTCTACAGCGCGCTTGCCAAGACGCTGAGCAGCAGTGCCGTGTCTCAGCACCAGGACTGCCTGGAGCAGGCGGACTCGGCACGGCTGGATCCTATAGACCCCAAGGATTTGCTGGAGGAATGTCAGATCGTTTTGCAGAAACGGCCACCCCGGTTTCAGAGGAACTTCGTGGACCTGAAGAAAAACGCTGCCAGTAACCACCGCCCCATTCGGGTCATGCAGTGGAACATCCTCGCCCAAGGTAGGAGCTGCTTCTAAGCTGGAGGCGTGACCTTGAGATGAAAACCTTTAAAGGCAGCTGTGTGTACCTAGTTAGGCATGCCTGGGATTGGCAGAGCGAAGGGAGGGAGGTGAATTACGTGAGGCACAGCTGACTGAGGGCTGGGGGGAGTTTTTTGGCACTTGAAATAGCGCTTTGCCTTCCGTTCTATAGGAAAGGAAAAAAGATATCTCCTTGTGACTGTGATGCCAAAGGTAGCTCTGAACGCCTGTCTTAACTGAACACAGTACATTCAAAAAGCTGTAACCCACCACTTTTAGATAGTTACTAACCCCCTAAAGCGACTCATCCTTCCCTAAGTTTTATTCTTTGTAAAGCTTCTCTGTGGTTTTCCAATTAGTCAGCTATTCAGGGATTCAGATCTGTTACGGGAATTCTTAATTCTTCAAAATAATTTTAACGGATTTTTTTTCTCAGACCGTAAGTTGAGTTATGCACCAGCCTCATCCTAAAATCTTTTTGGGTGGGAAATGCCCCACGCAAGGACTGCCTTAACGTTGTGCAGTTAAGTCACTCCTATACCACTGCATTTTTCCTTAGGCTTAAGCTGTGGCAGCCACGTGTGGAAGCACTTGCCACAGAGTAGTGACTTTTGGGAAGAGGGGGAATAAGCCTTTAGTCTAACTTGTATTTGTAAAGGGAACTTAAATTTATTTTTGGAGAGACTTGAGCGTTGTGAGAAGGGGTTCTCATACCCATTGGCAAGCCTGGCACCCTTAAAGTCAGCAGCTGCTCCTGGAAACCCCATCACCTGCATGTAAACTGATGTACACGCATCTTACAGAGAAAAAGTGTTGCAAAAGCCTCACGTCGCTTCCCCGTCTAACCTCCAGCACTGTGACAGACAGCCTGCTCCCGTGCGGAGCTGCAAGCACCCACTGGCTGCTGCAAGAGCGGAGCCTTGCGGAAAACAGCCCGTTTGAGCTATCGGTAACTTCCTTATTTTTTTTCTCTCCCCCTCCCTGCTACTTTCAGCTCTCGGAGAAGGCAAAGACAACTTCGTTCAGTGCCCCCTGGAAGCTCTGAAATGGGAGGAGAGGAAATGCCTCATCCTGGAGGAAATCCTGGCGTACACGCCTGACATCTTGTGCCTGCAAGAAGTTGACCACTACTTTGACACCTTTGAGCCGCTCCTCAGCCGACTCGGCTACCAGTGTACTTTCTTCCCGAAGCCGTGGTCCCCGTGCCTGGATGTGGAGCAGAACAACGGGCCGGATGGCTGCGCCTTGTTTTTCCTCAAAGACCGCTTTGAGCTCATCAACAGCGCTAACATCCGGCTCACCGCCATGAAGCTGAAGACCAACCAAGTGGCCATAGCTCAGACGCTGAAGTGCAACGAAACTGGAAGACTGTTCTGCATTGCCGTCACTCACCTGAAAGCTCGCACTGGCTGGGAGAGGTTTCGGTCCGCACAAGGCTGCGATCTCCTGCAGAACCTGAAGAGCATTACCCAAGGTGCCAAGATCCCGCTGATCATCTGCGGAGACTTCAACGCAGAGCCAACGGAGGAGGTCTACAGAGAATTTTCCAACTCCAGCCTCAACTTAAACAGTGCGTATAAGCTGCTGAGCCCCGACGGGCAGTCAGAGCCCCCCTACACCACCTGGAAGATCCGGCCCTCGGGAGAGTGCCGGCACACACTGGATTATATCTGGTATTCCCAGCATGCTTTGAATGTGAACTCAGCCCTGGGCTTGCTGACTGAGGAGCAAATCGGGCCCAACAGGCTGCCATCATTCAATTATCCTTCTGATCACCTGTCTCTGGTGTGTGACTTTAGCTTTAATCAAGACCCCGACAGACTGCTGTAATGTGTTGGAATGCCACCCGGTATTGCAGTGTCTTAACTCACCCACTCTTTTATTTTAGAGAAAACTTTTGAAGCTGGAAGCTGTTGAAGGATGAGGAAATACTGTTGACTAAACATTATTTCGGGCACTTGTTTGGAGTTATGCTTGCCATTCAGCGCTCGTTAGTCTGGGGCCTCCGAGGGAGGCAGAACGGAGCCAGTGTTCTTGTCGCGGTGTTCTTGCCATGTCAGAGTTTGAAAAGTGGAAGGCAAATGAGCTTTATTCTTTCACTAACCCCTGTGTTTAAGGATTTAATCCTCTAATGAATGTGGAGGCCTTAGTATTTAAATCAAAACACCTGTGTTTGTAAAACAACTTGCCCTGACAGCATGCTTGTTTTATTTATTTCACATTAAGCTTGAGCAAGTACCAAAGGGACCGAGGCTCGACTACTCCGTGAGATTCTCTTAGAAATCTTCTTCTGTTGCAATACAAAAGTTTAATGCTGTTTAGACATGAACAAATCTAAGCTCAAACATTTTTAAATGACTCAAGATGACAGTTTCATTAAAAGCGAATGGATAGCAGCGCAGTGTGAGGAAGGCCCCCTCCAGCAAGAGCAGGTGAGGAAAGAGAGGCTAACTACTCCACATACAGTAATATCCTCACTTTTCCAGATGAAATGTGCATGTGTCCATTACACACATACAGCCTGTAGGAACGTATACACAGTGACTGTTCACCTATGTCTCTTCCATGCTTCCCTCCAAAGGACACACCTAACCAGGGAGTATTTCCTTCTTTGCTTCAAGTATTACTTTTCTTAATGGTTTAAATTTGTAGTTTTGTCAATCTTGCTGTTTCAGTAAAGGGCCAATCTTCATGTTGAAAGACTTTCTTTTATTTATCTTCAGAATCTACAGCTACACTGGAACCCGTTAGAAGAAAAAATTTATTTATTGACAGAAGTTGGTGATCCTGTATCTGACTTGAAATCACACAGAAACAGTGTTCAGGAGCCTTTTTTGTGGTCCAGGGGAAGCCTGGCTAAGCACCTAGGCTACAACAGTGCTCTTGGTATAGTGACTCGTGTGCATGGAGTGGTGCTCATTGGTATGACATAAGTATTGCATATATGAATTGTAAATATGCCACTATGCCAGAAAATGAGGTAGGCAGAGAGAGGGAAGAGAGACAACAGCCAGAGTTGAGCTGACATTTAGATAGTTGGGAAGGATGAGGCAGAGCAAATAAAGCAGTACTTCCATGTAAGGTAAGGCCCACAGTAACTCTTAAATGTGCCAGGTGTTTTATTAATAAAAGTCTTTGGGGAAAAAAAAAGTAATGTCTCCGCTGCCATCTTTTTCCTTTCTGTGTCAGAAGTAGGTGATCTGCTTCAACTAGCAACTGTTTGAGTTTCAAGTTACTGGTGATGCTACCCATTCCAGACCTCTTTCTCCTGACCCTGCAGTCCTCATCTCCCAAGCTGGCACGGCTGCTTTGCTTTCACGGCAAGTGCTCTTCCTCAAACTTGAAATGCCCAAATTCCCCAGCAAGTCTGTAGGGGGAAGGGAGTTACTTTTAGCCACGTTAAGCTGCTCTCTCTCCTAGCTAAAGATGAAGCCTGGACTCTATACTACTGTAAATATTACTCTTCATGACAGTTGGGTGGAGCTACAGACCTGGCCAGTGCTGCAAAGCAGGGTGCAAGTATTCCTCCCGGAGGGCTGCTAAGCACGCCCTGCAGAGCTGGCTCCTCACAACAGGCAACTGGATTTGTCCCTTTCTTTTAAAAGGTCATCTGAAGAGCAAGAAATGCCACAGGTGTGTGCTTTACACAGCCCATAAATTATGGTACTTGTGTTGCTGGTAAGTGAAATAACAGTGTCTAGCAAACAGAAGTCCCAAATTCCCACACAAACACACTCCCTTTCAGGCAAATGAATGAAGTGCTGTGTTGCACAGCCGTAACACGCTCTGCATGTGTTCCTGCCCCTTGCAGGATCCAGGCGATGATCTGCTTCCAAGCAGAGGAGCTGAGGCCCTGCTAACCAGCCTGGGATGCAGGACTCCCCTAGTAAGTGTGGATTTGAAATTCTCCAGACATAAAGGATTTCACAAACCAAGGAGCCTGACTTCCTTACTGAACACTCTTATCAGGCAGATGTGGCATATCAACTACTACCAGCCAGGGCCTCCTTCAGCTGAAATTTCAGAAAGAGCAAATCTTTCTTGTGTCCCTGGAAGCCAGAAGAGGTGGCTCCTTTGGGGGAGATTCTGGACCAGAGATGAGATGCTCTTAATGCCCCACAGAAAGAGAGACCTTTGAGCATCCCTGTCATAAGCATTTCATACCAGCTAGACTGAGACAGCTTCCTTTTCGTGGTCCTGGCTGCCCTCAGTTACTCTTGAGGTGAGATGCAGTGCTTCTCCTTCAGGGCTGTCTTCTCTCAGGATCTTCCCTCAATTAGTCTTTGCAAGGAAGAAAAATACAGTTGCCTATTAATAGAGGTATCTAGTCAGCTGTAGCTAAACACTTCTAAAAGCAACATGACAACGCACACCTGTAAGATGGTACCTTTCAGAAGTCAACTCCCTGCTCATCTACCACAAAGTCACACCAGAAGCCTGAGTTTCCATTCGGACCCTTTTGGCAGTTTCTAGAAGAAACTACCCCTGTGGCAGAAAGCCCTGATTTGAGAGCCAGGAAAATACTGTACTTAGAGCTGTATTTAAACAAAAAAAAAAAGCAAACCAAACCAAACAAGCCTCACCACCACCAAAAAGCCTTTAATTTCCATTTTACTTTTGCATAAGCAGCTCTGTTTTCCTAAGGAACGCCGAGGGTGTCCGTCAATTCGGTGCTGTTTCACCACTGCCAGGGCACAGAATAGCACCCATTACAGTAGGCTTTGTTCACTAACAGGAGCTGAACTATCACAGCTACAAAACTCCCACCATCACCCTCACAGGGTGATGATACTTGGTAACTGGGCGATTCTGACGTCGTTTTACTCAGATCCTTGCTTTCAACACTAATTCTCCTCCAAAAGAAACCAAACTGCGGGGAACCAGCAATGATTTGTATGATATTGCCATGAGTGCAGAGTTCTTCGGAAGTGGGAAGGGCTGGGATTCTTATTTCACCCTGGACACGTGACGGTAGACATTCGCTGCTTCATGTCCTTAAAGGGCAATTTTGAAGGTGAGGGGAGGGTGCAACAACTGTGAAAAGGCTGGGGACTCTCCCCATCACAAGGCAATTCTTACTATTATCATAGGAAATCACACGTTCCTGCTATAGCACTATGATGAACCCTTTCTGCTCTATTTTTAAAAAGCTAGACAAGACACAGAGACTAACTGGCAACTTCCCAGTCAGCTTCACCCTTTTATTCCAGTACTTGTTATAAAATGTATTTTTCAGACAGACTCATTTGGAAAACTTAAGTGAAATATTGCTCGTTTTGTTTGATTCAGCAAGAAGCAGGCCTGCAGCACTGAAATACTTTTGCCTGCTATAAATATCAGTACAGTAAATGTTTTTCATAGGAAGAAACGGGAAGGTTTTTAATCTTTTTTTTCCCTATGTAGCAATATGACTCTTACAGTAGAAATGTCTTCAAAGCTCTTGTTGTGGCTGGCTGCCTTATAAGCACACCAAGGCTGAAAAAGGTCTCAACAGATCCCTTGCTCTGATCTTGAATGAAAGCTGCATTAGCTTTAGCAGTGAGAGTTTTCCCTCACCCTCAAGCTAGCTGCAGGGAGAAATGACCCACTTATTTAATTTGCTGCAAGGCAGAAGCTGTTGCAAGCTAATTAAAACACTCTCTCAGAGAACAATTAGATCAGAAGTAGATAGTGTCACTTGGATCGTCATCACTTAATAAGCTTAATACCTGCTATTTCAACTGTCTCCACGAGGCAGAAACTGAACTTGGCTCGTTCTAGCTGCGACAATCCTCACGCGTAACTGAGATCCCTGCTGCACGTGTCACAGTGAGTTAAAACTTGAGGCTTCAGGCACCTCTCCTCTTTCTCCTCAACTCGACGGCCCCTGACTCACTGATCCTCGATCAGAGCAGATGTAATTCTCCAAAGTCCTAAAGCTCATGAAATCAATTAGCAGAGGATCCCAAGAGGAAGCTTTACCTTTGTCACCTGAGTTGTGTCAGGGCACAGAACTCTTCGCTTCAATGCTAAGCAGGATCGAACTTGTCCAAGAGAGAGTAACAAAAACAGTGGTCTCCAGGATGGGATTGCCCTTCCAACTTTTCTTGCTACAACCCAGAAAATTTGATATTCAGATTGTTATTCCAAGATGCAACTCACAGTTAGATTTTTTTTCTTCCTGTGCATTACACAGCATTACCCTGTCCCTCCTATAACATACAATATAGTAGTTTTCTGAAAAATAAAAGTTTGTATTAACAGATGTAAAATCAGTGATACCATGGCTGTGTATGTCTCAATGTTTTCTGTATAAAGCATGCTTGCTTCACGCTAGAGTTTCATTCCACTGACAGATCTAGTTACTACTTGCCAAGGATGAGTTAAGCCTGGACTCTTCTACATGAGCCGCCAGCTTCAGATGTAAAAGATAGTCCCAGTTTCCCACACGGACAACATAACAAGTTTTTCAAGGGGATTATGAAAGTCTAAGACTATAGCTAGATACTAACTTCTTCAATGTTTTAGCATCCCTTTGTCCATTTCAGATGTTACAAACCTGACCAAAGCTCCCTTGTCCTGAGCTCACATCCTCCAACGCCACCAGTAAAAACATTTCTCGCCCACATAGTAATTAATTACATCGGCATAAAGCAGCGTGTTGAAGAGCAAGCTTGCACAGCCCTAGAAAATGATCTAAGACTTCCAGTGGGATTCTTGCCCCTCTGACACGTGGCTGTAGAAATCTCCAGGGAGAGGCTGCCTCTTGTAAGAAGCATGGCTTGATACCTGGATTGAACACCACTTCTGAAGGACAGCTGGATCTCAGAACAACTCAGAGGAACCACACACACACAATGCAATGCTGCAGAGCTGTGCTGAAACCGCTACCTGACTGTGACGGTAGCTGGTTCGTACAGCGAACAGCTAAATTGTAAATTGGAAAAAACAAACAAACAGTGAGAAGTACAAAGGCATATAAGGAAAAGCTAACAAAAAGGAGCTTCACTGTTTGAAGCCAGGTTAAGCACCCCTTCCATTTCAGTTACAGCACATCCTCATACAGACTGAGATTCTCACAGCACTTAATGAACTTCTGTTAAATGTCCTCTGGTGGCCGGTAGCGTCTGTGCTGCTCGCTGGGTGGCCAGGGGAGAGAGCCAAAGGACCATCACCAGTTCTGTGGCAAGATGCAGCACCCACAGGACCAGCAGCGCCTCAGAGCACGGCTGCGAGCTGCGTAGC